AATAATAACCCAGAGTGGTTGCAACCCAACTCCTGTAACATGGGCTTCTTCTCTCCTCACTCCCCATCCATCCTTACCCCAAGTCTCTCCAACCTGGCCCTTCCCCTCCCTTTTCTCTGACCTTATGCGTCCTCTGTCCTCTCACCACTACAGTGACATCCCTCTTTTGTTAATCCCTCTGTTGCCCTTTCTCTCTCTTCTCTCCTCATCAGCAAGAGTCACAGAAATCAACAGCAGGCAGTGGCACTCCTTGCCTCACGTCGTCCAATAAGACACACTCTCCTTGCTTGGCCTACTCGACCCGAGTGGACCTGACAAGGGTCTCACTCCCCTTGTCCCTTAGTGACCCCATGTTTCAGTCAGAGTGTCCATCCCTCTCCAGACCCTAGTTTCAGGTGAACAACATGGCGCCCAGACACTTATCTACCTTACAAAGTGGTCACCTGATAAGTCTAGTCCTCACCCGACACCTTACACATAGTTCACTTTTATTTTTGAAGCTCTCACATCTTGGAAAAAAAATGTCAAAATAGGGTTACCAAAATGGTGTCATGTGTTAAGTGTGTCAAGTTCATGAATCTACTTTTTTTAAAAAAATATATTTTATTGATTTTTTACAGAGAGGAAGGGAGAGGGATAGAGAGTTAGAAACATCGATGAGAGAGAAACATCGATCAGCTGCCTCCTGCACACTCCCGGCTGGGGATGTGCCCGCAACCAAGGCACATACCCTTGACCGGAATCGAACCTGGGACCCTTGAGTCCGCAGGCGGATGCTCCATCCACTGAGCCAAACCGGTTTGGGCTGAATCTACTTTTGATACACAAATGACCACAAAGAATAATCAATCAGACAATGAGAAGATGACTATTGCATTAAAATGTTAACATTCTGGTGGCTTAGTAGGAATAAAATACATGTATAAATACATAGCATAAACACGTCTACCAACACAGCCTGTGGTGGTGTAAATAATTCAATGTAGAGATCATGTTAAAGACTAATTTTGAGGCTGTTCATGGGATGCCAGGCCAGGGCCAAACTGTAGACTCTCCCAGGATACTGCAAGATGAACCCGCCACCCCTCCCCACTTCCCACCCATCTCTCTTCTTCCCTGCACCTAAGTCTCCTTGTTTCTCATCCCCACAGCTGCCCTTCCTTAGACGCTTCCTGGCACTGGTCATAGTTAGTTCTTTAGACACAAGTTCCCTTGTTCCTAGGGAATAGGACAGGACTGGACAACCTTTTTGTGAGTGTGTGCCAAAACCAGCAAAATCTCTGACTCAAAATTCTTCTGGGTGCCAACCCTAATTTTTTGAGAACATGTTACGCCTACTTGATATCTCTTAAGGTGTACGTATGTGAAGAACCTTAAAGAAATAATAAAATTCATTCGAGCAACAAAAACACAGTATATGATGATGAAAAATACATTTATTTTTTTAATGTATACATGTGCACTGATAGTCCTACAGAAAACTTTATGACTCCGTTTGATATTATCTGTGGGACTTTTGCTGCTGCATCACTGATGACAGAGATTTTACATTAGGTTTATATTTCGTGACCTTCAGAGATATGCACGAGCTACTGCTTTCATCTGTCAGGCTACTCCTATTACGAGACTTAACAAAATTCAGCACTGAAAACAAAGATTCACAATTGTAAATGGAAGATTATAAGAGAGGGTTTTGCCTGCCAGCAAAAGTTACTGGTGTGCCATGTTTGGCACACGTGCCAGGGGTTGCCCACCCCTTGAATAGGAAGTGGTGACAGCTGTCAGTGCCTGAAGTTCCAAGCTCACTGAATGTGTTCACTGAGGCCCTGGTCTCTCTGCCTCTCCCAGGGAGTGAGAAATCAGCAGATCCACATGGTGTTGCTTCTCAAGAAATCTGAAGCCTAGGATTAGGAGTATCTTCATCTCTCACACCTGGCTCCATCCCCACCTCTAGGTTCAGTCTATTCCAGTCTGAGCTGCCCACTGGGCTCCAGACCTCGGGTTGTACCTTGAGCCCTGGTCCCTGGCCCCCTGAATGCCTGAGTCCACATCTGGTTGGCCCCACGGAGACAAGGGGGTCCATACTCACATAGCCCAGGCTGATGAGCAGGATGGGGCGGGGAGTGGACCCAGCCTGGGGAAAAGGCCCACAGGATATAATGGGTCTGGATTTGGGGATCAGCCGGGAGGGACCCAGCAACTGAGAAGCAATTCTGTTGGAGAAGAATTATTTCTAAGTCCACGAAGAGGTCCTTAGTGAAGCTCTGCAGATTGCCTCTAGCGCCATCTGGTGGTGGCCGTAAGAACTGCCACAAGCGTGCTCTTAGTTCTTACCTGTGAGGTTGGTAATAGAAATGATTGGCACAAAATAATGAAGAGAGAGGTTGACCCTGGAAGCAGGAGAAGGAGGGGCTTGAGGTCAGGGAGAAGTAGGTGGGGGCTTTAAAATTCTCAATGATGTTTGATTTCTTAGGCTGAATGGCGGGTACACAGATGTTTATTTGTTCATATTTAATTGTTCAACTGTTCATATACACACGTTTGTGTAGGTGATATAGTCATTAAAATGTTTTTTTTAAGTCTCTTGCGATAAGTTGAAAAGGGATATAAGATTCAGGGTGGAGGTTCTGTCTTCTGTAGCCCGAGTGGCTGTGTCTCTGGATAGGACATGGATGGGCGGGGACAGTGGCAGGTTGTCTTAGCCAAACTGTGTTTCCTCACAAGTTGCCCGCTGAGGCCTGTTCACCCAGAGGACAGCACTGAGCATGCTCAGGAGCAGGGGCACCTTCAGGAATATGAGGAGCAGGAAGTGGACACTGCTGAGCAGGGACCTGTGGGGGACACGGTGACAGTGATGCACAGTGAGCCTCATCCTAACCACCCCTCCCCCCCCTCCAGAGGAGAATCCACCAGGTGTCAAAGTCCTGGGATGCGGGCCCCTTACCGAGGGTGTTGGTTGGCATCAGGCGTCTCCTGGCTGGTCATGCTGGGCTCAGTGGTCACTGGCAGGGAAGAGGGAGGGCCCAGCGTGCTTGGAGGGCCCAGGGTGCTTGTGACGATCTTCATGGTGGGGGGCTGAGGGAGAAAGCACAAGTCAGGCCCTGGGTCTTCCACTCTGTCAGCTGTGTGGCTCTGACACAAGGTCAAGGTCACTGAGGCCATCATGGCCACAGGTAGGCCAGACCTCGGCCCCCTCCCTGGGCCCCCTCCCCGGGCCCCTCTCCAGGAACTCCCAGGCCTGGTGGGCATGTCCGGAAGCCGAGTCATCCTGCTCAGTAGAGGATCTGACTGTGTGGGAAGAGCACTTGGCCACACCCTCACCACAGCCACCCCTTCTCCCTCTTGTCCCGCCAGCAGGGGGCGTGGTGACACTTATTCTGTAGCCTTGACTGGAGTGATGGGTGGCCAGGGCCCTCAGGCGTGGAGTGCTTGGAGTGAGACCCAGGAAACAGACGTGCCTCAGGGTCTGTACTGGATGGCGGAACCCACAGTCCCTTAGACACTCCGTGGTCTGATTGCTCCTGTCTCCAAAATTCCTTTGTTGAAAGCCCCATGCCCAGTGGGTGGTGTTAGGGTGCCAGGCATTTGGAGGTGGTCAGGGCATGAGGGTGGAGCCATCCTCCTTGGGATTAGTGCCCCGATGAGGGAGGCCCCTCACCCCGGAGGATACAACAAAAGTCTGCACCCAGAGGAGGGCCTCGCCCACATGCAGGCCTCCTGA